TTCCCAGCGCTGTTCCCATATCCTAATTCCCCAATAAAAAAATCTTTAAAAAAAAAAAAAGAATATAAAACTAAGAGATTATGTTGTTTATTCAAAGCACATCAAAAATGGCTGGGTTAGTAGAACCAGGTCACATAATTAAAATCATACTTATTAAGTGAGAATAGCTCATAAAATCCTGTTAGAAAAAAAAAATTAAAATGAGTACTGGCAACCTTTTAGAAATCACCTGTACAAAGGCCTTTTTAAAGAAAAGGAAATTAGATCAGAATATTTTTGATGATACAAACTGTATCTCACCTTTTTATTCTCTAGCTGAAAACTGGTTTTCAACTTTAACGCACCTGAAAATTACCTAGGAATTACTCGCGTGCAGAGATTCTCATTCACTGGCTCTGAGACACTTACTTCCTGTCCCATCCTTCGAGAGATGTTACTCTCCAGCTATACCCTCCTACATTGAACATGATAGCTCCCTAATGAGTGTTTGCTTTACTGAGAGAACTAGAAAGAAGACGGGACTCCCACAAGTTCATCTAGGACTATGTGAATGTAGTTGGCTAATAGAGGGTCCGTTATGAAAATCCAGGGCTTTTTGTCCCTGGATCTAATGCTCTCTGCCTATGCCACTTATCACATAGTTGCAAGCAATTCATTAGCTTGGAAAAGCTTTCCCAACCTCTTTTGGACACACCCCTCCTCTCTCACTGTCTCTGTGTCTCTCTTCACATCTTTATTCCCCTGTCCTAGTGTGTGCTTCCTGCTGGGCCCTTTCATCTTGCATAAGTAGCCCCCCTTAGATCACCATTGTGCTTGAGAACTGGGGTTGAGTAGTCAGTCCTCCAGGCTATTTTACTGACACCACTGCTGACTAGGAAGAGGCTCAGAGAAAAAGCAGCCTCTTTTTCAGGTTGACCTTAGAAGGCACAAGTCTTGGCTTTGAGGTACAACAGATTTTCTCTTGTCTACATTTTTTTGGGCTTTCCCAAACTTTTCCTACTACTCCATTTTCATTTTAATTGGGGCTTATCTCATACAGGAAAGAGAACTTCTATCCTATTATAAAACATTAATATACAAAAAAAAGTTTTTAAAAGATCTAACATGATATAATAATGGAACTCAAAGACATCTTTTATTCCCTAGAGATATTCCGTTGTGGGTATATTGTCTGCCCACTGCCAAAGGATCGCCACCATTGATTAGGGCTCTTTGACTTANATACAAAGAAATTAAAAACACCAGAAATTATAAGTGTGCATATAAATATAAAATATAATAATGTTCTTATTTCAAAAATGTATTTCAAAGATGATTGTTTAAAGTAGAAATAATTGTTGTGGGGGGGCTTATAAATATGTATAAGTAAAATATATTAAAATAATAACCCAAAGGATGAGAGGGGGTAATGGAAGGCTATTGCTATAGGAGTCTACATTATACATGAGTCTATATTACACATGAAGTTGTATAATTCTATTTGAAGGTAGACTGTGATAAGTTAATGGGTGTATTGTCATGCCTACAACAACCACAAAAACAACAAAGAGGTTTAGTAAGTATGCCAATATTAGGGATAAAATGCTAAAAATTCTAAAAAATTCTCAGTCCCAAAGAATGCAGAATAACAGGAAAAAGAAATAAAGAACAGATGAGACAAAAGAAATAACTGACTCATACCAGCCACATCAATGATTATAATAAATGTAGATGTCCTAAACACATCAGTAGAAGGCAGAAATTGTCAGACAGGAGATGAAAAGCAAAATCTAATTATGTGCTGTTTACAAGAAAGTCACTTCAAATGTAATGTGTTTTGATGTTTGTTTTTGTATTGTGTAAGTGAAAAAGTGCTTACCAAACAAATTGAAGATCGGAGAAAGTTTAAACTGCTTGGATAATAAGCAATTCTTCAGTAATTTTGAGCTAGTGATATTTCTTCCAACAATTTATGTGATCTTTTCAATTCACTAGAGTAAGTAATAAGGACAACAATAGGGTTATACTTTCTTAGCCATCATTCTGTTTTTACATATACAAAGTTTCTCAGACTTTCATAATTATAACAAAAAACCCATAATCCCTCAGTTTTGATGAATAAATAAGGTTTTATTACATAGAAATATTTGTGTTTAAACATTAGTTGCCCTTTCAGAGAAGAAAAATATAATTTTACTTTTCTAAAAATAATTAATAGATAATAATATTAAAAGATAATAATAAATAAGGATGAAATTCAACTGTTCCATTTCTAGCTCAGCAAAAGATAAAGCATTCCATTCTCTTTATCAAAGAAATTGTTATTGAAAAGCCTTAAAATCCAGCATGGAATGAATTGAAATTCACATGTGAACTCTAAGATAATCAGGTAATTTCAATCCATGTACTGAGTGAGGTTCCTTGACATATAGGATTTTTTTTTTAAGTTACTTGGTGTTTTTTTTTTTTTGTCTTATCATAGTATGAAAACAAGTCCACATCTGAAATAGAAGACTTCCAGGAGAAGCCATCTTTAAGGCACATGACATATCTCTCTGTTACAGGTCATACGGAAGGGAGAAGTGAGCTGCTGCTGGATTTGCACGGCCTGTAAAGAGAATGAGTACATGCAAGACGAGTTCACCTGCAAGGCTTGTGACTTGGGCTGGTGGCCGAATGCAGATCTCACAGGTAGGACTTCCACACTCATCAACCGTGTCCCTAACGATCCGCCTTTCCAA